GTACAATGAGATGCAAAAGCTTCATCACTTTGGAAAAACACAAGTTTGCTGCTCAATACTTACTGGAAGCTCCGATTGCATTTTGGGAACAGCCTTGCAAGTAAAATTAGCCTTGAGATCTGATAGACTCACCTGTCCAGCAGAGCTCCCCCCGGCTCACTCTCTGTGCGTCTTTAGCCTGATTCCTATCAAATAAATAAATTGATTTTATATTTATTTTTTTATTTTATATAGGCCAAAATCTCAATAGGTGTTGCCTCAAAGAGTTGGTGTAATGATTATTTATGTATTTAATTATAAAATGTTGCTTAATTTTTATTAAGCACCACCTTAATTTATCCAAAAGTGAACACTTGTTACAGTGCAGTTTCTGCTGTTACTGGAGATATTTTAGCGGACTATAGTCACTAGTTTTACCAGCATGGATGCATTGAATACTTAATTTACCTTTCTAAAAAACTGTTGAATATCCATGCTGTCGACTCAACCTGACTTTCGGCAATGAACTGTCAGTTGTTGCGTTAGCATTTGATGTGGAGATGGTGACAGACACGTCAAATGCTAACGCAACACCTGTTGCGTTCAGGAATCCTGGGAGATTAATATTACAATAATGGCAGGTTATCGAAATGTAATTTAAAATGGCCACATTACATTGAATTTGATGCAATATATTTGCAAAAGTACAGGAAAAATAAATAATACTTTTTTTTAAATAATGCAATGAAATTATTTAGGGGGGCTAAAGACAGTTTTAGGGAGGCTGAAGCCTCCCTAAAATAGGCCTAATGACGCCCATGGCAGTAACACAGTAAAAAAATTGGCTCTTCGTCTCTGACTGGTTGGCCACCCCTGCTGTACTGTATTGTACTGTACTGTCCTGCAGTTTTTGTGTTCTAAACAGTTTTTGGGCGATATATTGTTGCACTTTGCTGCTTGTGTTGTCACACATGTATGTTTTTAACATACTTGGACGTTCATACAGGACATAGTTGTTTCACTGTTCTCACTAAAAAAAGTATGTTCATACTTTAATGCTTGTTCTGTTGATGTTTGGTATGGACTGTCAACATATGTAGTTTTTAATATGTACCATATCTTGTGCTGACCCGGCCCATCCGTCAAATTTTAGGAATCGATGTGGCCCCCGAGCCAAAAAGTTTGCCCACCCCTCCTCTTGACAGCATATTACCAGTCTTCGTTATAGCTGCTTGTGAAAGTTTGTGCTTGCATGATGCGCTTGCTCACATCCTGTTCTTGTGCATCCCCTGGGGGCTAGGTGCTTTAGATGCACGTTCAGCATTGTTGTAGCTGAGGTCGTCTTTGACTCTATTATGTATGTATTTATTTATTTATTAAATATCCCACAAGTGGACCATGTCTCCTCATCTCCAAGATCCCCACAGCCCAGACCTTCGCATCATGTATGTTCTCGCCTAACTTCAAAGCAAATGAATCACCAGAGAATCTCTCCACTTTGTCTTGACAAAGACCTGCTAATTCTCAGCAAAGTATGATCACGCAAATCTCTGATAAAGAGTGTGAACTTGTCATCTGAGAAGCCTCTACAGGCAATTTGAGTATTCACATTCTTTTGCACAGATATGCTGGCATCAGGACATCTCATAAATCACAAACCAAATGCGTCTACACAGCAGGCTGCTACTTAGAGGCCAACTTGGCCTTGCTGGAAACCAAGGTAGAACTTTTTGGCCATATTTCCTACAGGTACGCATGTTGAGCGCGAACACAACACTGCTTCTCACCAAAAGAGTACCAGACCTTCAGTGAAGTATGGTTTTGACAGCATTATGCTTTGGGGCTGTTTTTCTTTTGCTGGGACTGGAACATGTGGAGGGAATTATAAACTGTTCAGATTCAATTTTCAGGCTTCTGCCAGACCAAAAAAAGCCCGATATCCCTGCAGGATGGCCCGCCGACATGTGCATTAATGTGTTTGTGATTTTTAATGATTAACCCTTTCATGCACCCCTGTAACCTGATAACATGATAAACTGTCCACTGTAGTGGCCGCTGACCCTGAAAGGGTTAATCTGATTACATTTCTGTCATCGAGTGAGTGGGTGGGGTTGGAGAGGGCGGATAACCTGTGAACACAACTCTCCCCCAGTGGATGCCCATCCCGTTGGCCTCCCCCTCTGCATGCTCCTCCATGGAGGTCAAGTCAAAATCAAGTCAAGTCGCATGAATGCCAAGTCGATAAGTTTTCGCCAAGCATGTCATAAAATTTGTGTCATGTTCTGTCTTGATTGTGTTCCGGCTCCAGCTGGAGTGAAGGGCGTTTCCCTGCAGCAGGCACACCTGTTCTGCGTTTTCCAATCCAGCCTTGCCATGCACTGCCAAGCTGCCTCGTCATTGTCCGATTATTGGCCCTGCTCACTGTTGTATTCTAGACCTCTTGATACCTTTCGTAGTCGCTCTCGTTTTGTCATCGAATCAATATAAGTATTTTCATTATTCCTTTAATTTGATCTTGATCCTTGGTTGTGCGTTGTTGGACTTTTGATATTTCATTTGTGTGGTGTCAGTGTTCTAGTGTACCTTGCCTTTGCAAGCACTTTTTGTTCATGCCTTGTTTTTACTGGCTCCTTGTGACCAGGGATTTCAGTTTGTACTTTGTTGGTGCGTTTTTCTGTAATAAATATTTCGTTACCACGCTTTGTCTGAGCCTGCATTTTTGGAATCCAAAAACATTCGGTTTGGTCCAGTTCCTAACAATTAGCGACTTAAGTTGACACGTGTCCAAGTCGTGACGAGAGTCCCCCACCTTAGAGCTGTACTGTATGAGGTGTAAAGAAAAAGATGAAAAACAAGGCTTCTCATTGTCATCAACTGGCAGGCTGCCAACAATGTGTGAAAAGATCCTGTTTGCACAACCCTTCTAAAGCAGTAAGTGTGTGCAGGCGGTTGTTAATGAGATACGGTATCTCAATAAACAAAATGGCTATCTGTAATATTCTACATGGAAAATGCATGCATCTCTGCATCTGCACCACCAAACCAAATCCAGACTTAACTTCACATCTCTCTTGTGGTTTTGAATTGGGACACACTTGCGCAAGTACTGCCGGCACCATGGTGAGAGGTGATTGAATAAACTCTACTTTTCAACATGATGAATTATTTAAAATCAAGTACCACATGTATGATTTCAATATGTGTTCTGAAGCTTCTCAGTGTTTGTAAGAATATTTTTTACCCTTCCAGGCCTGGGTGGTGCCTCTTGCACAAGAAACTTAAGCTCATAAAAAGAGGCTGTGCAAGTTTTGCCTGTCAGAGGGTCTTTCATATTTACAGGCAGCAACTGCAGATCATTCTCCAACAACCAACGACTTCTCCCCGGGTGAGGATTCCTTTCAATTGAATAACCCTTGCTTGTTCAACAGGATTTCCACCGTTAAGGTTGTCTTTTTATTTGAAGGATTTTCCCTTCAGTGAGCATTCACACTTAATACAGTGATCCCTCGCTACTTCGCGGTTCACTTCTCGCAGTTTCAGTGCATCACGGATTTTTCAAAAGTATTCATCAAAAAAAAAAAAAAAAAGCGAAAATGCCACGAAAGGTCCGCTAGAGGCAGCAAAAGTCAGCAAAACAACAGCGAGTCACATAGAGCAACATATACAGGACTACATGAATATGTTTACTGTATTTTTTTTTTATTTGTACACTAACCTAACCCATTTTATACATCTTATACATGTGTGTGTGTGTGTATATATATATATATATATATATATAAATATATACTCATACACATGTACGTATACCTGTACAGGGGGGGTGCCTTCTTCGTGGATTTTCCTCTTTCACGGTGGGTTCTGGTCCTACCGACTGCTGTCAGGCTGCTGAATAAAAAATAAAATGATGTGATGTGAAAAACAATTGTAAATGGTACAGCCACCTTATCTATATCTATATTTATATTGCACTTAATTGAACGGTGTACATTGAAACTGTAACATTTATTTTGTGAATGCAAACACTTTGTTTTTCTTCTTTCTTCTTTCTACCCACAATCTTGCTGCTGTAAATTTCCCCAGTGTGGGACAAATAAAGGATATCTTATCTTATCTTATTAACCGCAATAAGCGAGGGATCATTCTACACGTGAATCTGCATGCATGGTTAATTGAATTCGCTTTCGCCTCTTTTGGAAATGCATTTTTTTTAAACCACATTCTCATATTCTTATATAGCTGAGATCTCCCTGTCCATGACACTTTAAGATCAGTTGAACATGAAGCCCTTTCATTTCAGAGACTTACAGACCCAGCAAATGACTGGTTTCTTGTGCTTGGATGCAGGATGAAAAAGAAGCTCATCCTCGATGTGGACACAGGGGTGGATGATGCGCTGGCCATCATGATGGCCTTGTCAGCACCTGATGTGGAGATACTGGGGATCACCTGCTGCCATGGAAACACCCCCCTTGAGAAAGTCCTGAAGAACACCCTCCGGGTTTTAAAGGCGTGCAACAGGCTGGATGTAAGTAGCTCCACATTTCAAGCGTGATTGAACTTCGTACATGCTTTGGAGCTTTGATAAGCCATCGAATCCAAAGATCCCAGTGTACGCAGGATGCTCGCAACCACTCCTGTCCAACAAGCAACATGCCAGCGATTACCATGGGAAGGACGGGCTGGGTGATGTCCCAGATCCAGATGCTCCGGGATTGGAACTGGTACAGAAGAAAAATGGTGTGAAGGCCTTAATCAAAATGGTCAAGCAGAACCAAGGAGAGGTATGACAAGCGAGGCTAGTTTTCATCATTATTACATGCCAGAGTGAGTGTGACAGCTTGATGTGTCGTAATTATACCGCAGGTGACTCTGGTGGCCACGGCACCGTTAACTAACCTTGCAGTCGCAGTGCAACTGGACCCTTCCCTTCCCAAGAAGCTAAAGGCTCTGTACATCATGGGAGGCAACATTGAGTGTACGGCTCTCTCCTCCCCAAACATGCATTTGTACCTTTGTTTTCCCCCTCGGTGATCTGTTGCATGACATGCCATGTGATGCGTACAGCCAGGGGTAACACCACAACATGCGGGGAGTTCAACTTTGTTGCTGACACAGAGGCCGCCTATGTTGTTTTGGAACGCTACACTTGTCCCACCACCATCGCTTCCTGGGAGTTCACCTGCAGTAACAGCCTGCCATGGGTACGCCTCACCTTGAAGTTAAATAGGTCACTTTTTTTGATGCTTTGACTTTTTTGCCTTCTCTCTTCCCTCCTCAGTCCTTTTGTGACCAGTGGCTTTCTCTGAAGACTGAGAAAGCTGCCTTCATGAAAAACATTTCATGCCTCTCCAGGACGGTAAGAGTCAAGGCTGCATTGCAGCACATGCGTTAAAAGGGACAGACAGGTTCACGCAGACATATTTTCAGAAAGAGGCAGCGAACAAATCAATTGCTACTTCAAATTTGGTGGGTATCCAGGCACTCCTGCTTGTACAGCACGTTTTATGTACAAGCAATTAATAAGTCAATTTTCCATAGTATGTCCGCTTTCAGGCGATACAATTCAAGTTCGCTCAACCCACGATTGAGCGAACTTGATTGACATCTATGTGCTTATTCTCATGGCGTTGAATTGATTGCAACTGGACTGTCTAGAAAGTCCTGATCGGATTCAGTGCCCTGAAAATGAAATGAGCTGGATGGATGTGAAGATTCACATGCATCTCAGGGCATATTATTACTCTTCACGCAATGCCAGAAATCTCAGTCAGCGGACTACCAGAAGGAAATCACAGCAGGACAAGGCTTCAATGCTTGCGACACCTATGCCCTGGCCGCCGCCATCAATAACTCCCTCGTCACAGAGAGTGAGCAGGTAAAAGGCAGCTGCCTTTCCTTCTCAGTTGAGTTTGAGTTTTTTAACTGCCTGTGCTGATATTTTAGGTGGCTGTGACAGTGGAGCTGGACGGGGCCTGCACCCGAGGCATGATGGTGTTGGATTACATGGACCTGCTGAAGAAGAAACACAAGGTCACCATCATGAAGAAAGTCGACTTGGAGAAGTTTAAGCAGATGCTCACCAATTCACTCAAGTAGAGTGACTTGCAACAGCCAAGATGGGAACATTGAAATGTGTTTCATAAGTCAAATAAAATCGTGATTCAAAAAAGAATGATTGCTGTTTGTTTACATGCTTCCGCAAATTAACACAATGTTCCTGCTTCGCACTCTTAATGCTGTCAGCTGTTCCCCTCAGGTATTTCATTAAATTCGCTAAGATTTCTTGAAGAACTGTTCACTGGTGATGAAAAAAGTCTCAGACAAAAAAAAAAAAAAGATTGTTTTAGAGACATTCGAGACATTTGTCTCAAGGAGGGCTTGATTGTCGTTTGGTTTGTATCTTGATTTAAAGGCCAGTGGATGACATTTTGCCACACGGAGAACACATCTTGCAAGGCTCGGTAAAAAGAGCACAGTAAGTTTTAGGAGTGAGATCCACATGAAGCACAACAAGTACCGGTACGTCAAAAATGTCAAAAGCCAATGAGGTCTGGAGGCAAACAAAACGTGTTTGTGATTCTCAACTGGTAGGTCGGGACCCAAAAGTGCAGATTGTGGACAGTTACTAAAAAAAAAAAAAAAAAAATCACATATTTGTATTCTGATTTTCCCACGTAGCACATACAATATTGGGTAAGTGTCAGGAAATGTTACCTCATTTGTCCTCTTATCACTAGCTACTCTGCAAACAACTGCAGTGTAGCTCAGCCTTGGACAAGTGGACGTCATATACCTGTATATATATATATATATATATATATACATACACAGAGAACATGAAGAGAGCGTCAAGCATCATATTTATTGTGTTTATGATAATGAAAGGATTGGGGTCTTCTTTTGTTTCAGTGGCAGTGCAATGGTATCATGTTTATACCAAGTTCCCTTAGGCAAGTTTCACCATGATATCCCAAAGTGCCTTGGTGCTCCACATCATTCGTCTCTCTAAAATCACTGTCACCGCTCACTAGTTCATATTTTGGGGCTGCACGAAGAACAAAAAAAAAAAAATCTTCGGCCATCGGTCGTGCCTGAGGGGTCTTACAATCATATATTCGTGGACTGAATTTGGATCCCAATACGTGTATGTGAGCCCAAAATTTTTTGAGTGCGTGTGAGAGCGGTTTAGTAGTGTATGAGAGGGGGGGGGGAAAAATCAGTTGTCGTGTGAAAATAATGTGTGTGAGCATTTCTGTTGTGGGAGTGAGCGAAAAAAAAAATTCCACTTGTGTGAGTGAAAGCATTTTGTATGAGATGTAATCTTAACGGTCCCTTGTAGCAAAGAGTGCTGCACTTCTTGAGCAGGGGGAACGGTCCCTTACTCAATGCTCAGTATCCGGCAAGCAGATTAGCATCTGGAACAGCTGGTTGACATTTTTACATTTTGTCAACAAGGGTACTTGAATACAACGGTGCCGTTCCAAAGCTTTGGAACGGCATGATGAGCTCCCGCCGTCACACAGATGAGCTCCTAACTTGTGGCTTTGAGAGATGCTTTGGATCCAGCATTTAATTAAAGTGTTGCTTTTGCTCTGGAATTTCATCCAGTCCCGCTTTCAAGTCAGTAACTGAGAAACTCTGTGTGGGTGTGGTTGTTATATCACCAAAACAGATGTGTACTCCTGCTTGGCTGCACACAAGCAGCTGTGGAATGAACTGGCCACAGGCTCTCTTATAAGGGGTCCTTGTATCATGTAAGGACACAGATTTATGGCAGGTATTACGAAGCATAACATAAGCATATACAACTCACATCATGTCAATCTGAAACCTGTCGTGTCCATTCCATCCATTTTTTAATAGCACTTTTGTCATTAGGATCACGGGTAAGCTAGAGTCTGTCCAAGCGGACTCTGGGTAAGAGTGGGGTACACCAGGCGACATTGCCATAGAGGATGTTTCCCAATAGTTTCTCCAAGAAACAAATTTAAATAAAGCTTTCATTTAGCTTGATGCCTTGCAAGTAGGAGAACTGATTGGCTCCAGATTGTGAACACTGTAGTTCTGTCCAGTCAACGTGGGGCATGAGAGCCAGGCCTTACGTGCTGATGTGGCAGTCTGGCAGAGGCAAGGCACCGCTCCTGAAAAGTCCCAAATACAGTTGCCTGACAGCTTCTCTGGTTGCACACAGCAGCATGAGCGTCATATGAGCACTCAGAAGAATAAAACCTTTGTGGCTTTGTAGAAAAACAGGGCGCAACATGTACTGTAACTGTATGTTGAACAGATATGACACTTTCATTCTCATTCCAACCGAGCATTCCAAAAATATACAGTGTTCAACTTAGACCATGTTGTTTTCGAATCAACAAGACTAATTTGCAAATACAGAAATGGAAAAAGGACTTTGTGGTTTTGAAGAATTACAGACGGGCTCACTTTCCGCTTTGCTCCTACGCACCAAACTGTCTTTACCTAGGGTGTGTTTATTCAGATGACTTAAATCGTTATATCATCGTAATTCTGATCGGAATAGATTGTGGAGTCTCATTATGTGTAACTTGAATTAACGGTTTCAGGATTTTTTTTTCGTTGCTAAAAAAAGTTTTCCTCAAAAACCAGCATACATTGTGTTTACTGGTGGCTGTTGTGCAATCCTCCCCCCCATTTCCTCACACTAGCCCCACCCATGTATAAAAAGCAGGATGTCGCACAAGAAAGACCGACTTCCTCACTGGAGAGACCCTAGTAGTCTATGCCATCATACGATCTTGCCTGGCAGGTGAGTTGATTTATTTTTCCAGCCCTCTCTCAAAAACCTACTGAATAACTTCTTTTCAAACCCTTTCTGGACTAATCACATACCTGTGGTCCAAACTGGCATAGATTAAAATATATATATACATAAATTAATCCTTTCAGGGACAGAGGTTACTACAATGGACATCTTATCATCTTATCTGGTTACAGGGTGCATGAAAAGGTGAAACTTAGCTTCGAGTGAAGTTTGTGAGTTATGAACTTTTTATGTGGTCTTTTTTTCTTTCTTTTTTTTTGTGGTCTGTTTGTTTCATAGTCTGGAGGTCTCTTGGCGTTTCTCTTGAGTGCTTTTGAGATGTAAAGTTGCACACAAAAAAAAGTGTTCCCCGTCATTTTTAGCAGAGTTAAAGCAACCGTGAGCTGTTTTTACATTCCTTCTTGAAGATATCCCAGGAATGTTGCTAAACACAAATGACCCAAAGAGGCCAGAGCGCAGAGCTGTCGTGAGCAGCCAATCTGCATTGACGTTCCTCTAGATGATTTAATTTGTTGCAGCTGTGAATGTGCATTCAGAGAGGATTTTCATGACCTTGCGGCCACGAGTCATTGCCAAGTATCCTCGCTCTGCTTCTTCCAGAAACAATGAAGAAGCTGATCCTCGATGTGGACACAGGGGTGGATGATGCTCAGGCCATCATGATGGCCCTGGCAGCTCCCAACGTGGAGATATTGGGGATCACCTGCACTCACGGCAACACTCCCCTACAGAACGCCCTGAGGAACACCCTCCGCGTCTTGAAAATCTGCAACAGGCTCGATGTGAGCATTTACTTGCATGCATGTTAAATAGTTGCCGGTTCTTGGGCTCAAACTTAGCAATGTCATGCATCATAGATAAAGGTGTACCCCGGCTTTGAGGAGCCTCTACTGTGCAACAAAATACATGCAGGAGACTTTCATGGGAAGGACGGGCTGGGGGATGCCCCCGATCCAGATGCCCCGGGGCTGGAACTGGTGCAGAAGACTAATGCTGTGGAGGCTATCATTTCCATGACCAACCAAAATCCTGGGGAGGTGAGTCCATGGAAAATCTAAATTAAAAAAAAAACTAAACAAAACAAAAAAAAACATATGTATTACATCCACCCATCCACATCCATCCATTATCTGAACTGCATAACCTGATGAGGGTTGCAGGGGTACCGGAGCCTATCCCAGCTTTCTTCGGGCAGTAGGCGTGGCACACGCTGAACTGTTGCCAGCCAATCGCAGGGCACACAGAGACAAACAAACATCACGCTCACATCTAGGGTCAATTTAGAGTGTTCCATTAACCTGCCATGCATGTTTTTGAAATGTGGGACTACACCGGAGTACCTGGAGGAAACTCACACAGGCACGGGGAGAACATGCAAACCCCACACAGGAAGGCCAGGGCCGGATTTGAAACCACAAACTTTGCACTGTGAAGTGGACGTGCTAACCAGTTGAGCACAGTGTCACCATATGTATTACATTCATTCATTCATTCATTTTCCGATCCGCTTTATCCTCACAAGGGTCACGGGGGGGTGCTGGACTCTAGCCCAGCTGTCTTCGGGCAGTAGGCGGCGGACACCCTGAACTGGTTGCTAGCCAATCGCAGGGCACACAGATATGAACAACCACCTCCCCGGTGGCCCAGTGGTTAGCGCGTCGACCTCACAGTGCAGACGTACCCGGTTCAATTCCAGCTCTGGCCTCCCTGTGTGGAGTTTGCATGTTCTCCCCAGGCCTGTGTGGGTTTTCTCCGGGTCCTCTGGTTTGCTCCCAAATTCCAAACACATACATGGCAGGCTGATTGAACACTCTAAATTGTCCCTAGGTGTGGTTGTTCATATGTATTACATCGGTTTGATTTTGGTATTTTTTTCTATTTATTAATTTTTTAAAAACATTTTACACTCCTGTTCAGACCTTGATTAATTTTGCAGAAGATGAAGTGCCTCATGTGCTGCTGAGGTCCCAAAAATGTTCACTTTCTGTATTTACTTGATTTAAAAAGAAAAAAAAAAAAAGTTAAATGAATGGCCAAAAAAAAACATCACTCAATGACACACAAAAATATTTAAAATAAATTACAGATAATGGGGCAGGAGTAGCTGAGAATAATCTGCCTTTCAATAGAGAAATTCTCGTCAATATGGATGTTACCTGTTTTGTCAGTGCTTGTGTGGGCCTTCTCCTGATACTCAGGTTTCCTTTCACATTCCAAAAGAATGCATGTTAGGTCAAGTTATCGCATGCCATCCATTTTCAACACTGTTTATTCTGAAGAGGGTCAGGGTAAGTTGCTGGAGCCTGTCCCATCTGATTTGGGCCAAAAGGAAGACAACACCCTGAACTGGTCGCCAGTCAGTCGCAGGGCACATATAGAGACAAACAACCATTCACACTCACATCCAAACCGTCACTGAATGAGAACCACACTGTCCACATACAAGTCAGGCAAGTGTACCGCTACACCATTACCGACAATGTAATCGCATGCCAAATTACTAATTGCAAATCTCAAGGAAGCTTTACTAGAATAAAGGAAAAATGTTGCTGTATTAATAATATATTTTTTAATAATAATAATAATAATAATTTTTCTGAAAATGTACACACGCCCATATGTTCAAGTTCAAGTCAACTTTATTGTCAAATGTGCTCTGTGTGCAACATACAGCACAGATGAAATTTCTTTCCTCTCAACCGCAGGAGAGAGAGGAGCCGCTGTAGGTTCCCGCACCGCCATCAACAGAACAGTTCACATAAAATGAAAAAAATAATACAACACAACACATAAGACACAGACAGTCGTGCAATCTTAACCCCTTTTTCTGCATGCACTTTGTTGTTTGAAGCAGTTATAGATGAAAGAGGAGAGAATCAAAGTGTCCTTTTACCAGTGGATCAATGACGTCAAGCTGAAAATGTATACACGTTTGCTACAAGCTAAGTTTGAAAGCGGACAAGAAGCTGTAGCGTCCATTGATGAAAAAGAGATTGGCTCACATCATGTAAATTCGCTTCAATTCCAAGCGGCGACTCCCAGTTCCACATACGCATCTGCGCTCTGCGATGACCCTCCTTTCTTCTCATCGGCTCCACAAGCCATCCATCCATCCATCCAGCCGCAGACTGTCCAACAGCACCGACATTTCCGCTGAACAAAACGGGCTGTGAAAAATTATGTGAGTGTTCAGTGAGTGAAATATAAAAAAAAAAAAAAAAAAAAGAAAAACAGGTGTCTACATTGGTGTGTAACCCATGGGCTAGAGTGGAGCTAATTAAGTTGCAGTTGGAGCTGGCAGGAAAATCTATCTAAAAATCACTGAATAATCTGTCGAAAAATCTCTGATTAACTCGTCACTGTGGGCAGAATATTTCCTCAATTCGCATGTTTGTACATTTCTTAGACTTAAGTGTCCTCTTTCAGAAAAAAAAAAAAAAAAACACTTGTGTTTCGAAAACATCATTTTGTAACTTTAATTTGATTTGAACCTAGGAGAAGTCACAAAAACGCCTCGGTTGACCTGAATGTGAACTTTACTGCATTTATCTGACATTTTCATTTGATTTACTTGCAATTTAACCCGCCCTAATTCAGTTATTTTTCTTAATCCGATATAAAAAAAAAAAAATGACAACATGCTCGCGTTCACCAAAACCTTGTCATTCTAACAAGTCCATTGTGGAATCCGTATCTTAAACTGTTAAATTGGGAGAGCAAGTTGTTTCAGGTGTTTCAGGTTAACTGTAAATTTAACCTGCATTAATTCAGGCATGGCAGCACAGTGTCGATTGGTTAGCACGCCCGCCTCACAGTGCAGAAGCTGTGTGTGTGTGAGTTTGCATGTCCTCCCCGTGCCTGCATAGGTTTTTGCCAGGTACTCCGGTTTCCTCCCACATTCCAAAAACATGCATGGTAGGTCGACTGACACTCCAAATTTTCCCCAAGTGGTTGTTAGTCTATGTGTGCCCTGCGTTTGGCTGGCAACTAGTTCAAAGTGTATCTACTCTCCGAAGACGGCTGGGATAGGCTCCAGTACGCACCGTGACACTTGTAATGGATGGATGAATAATCCCAACACTTGGCAGCTATGTTGGCCATTATGTACACCACAGATTCTTGTCTGTCGGCGTCCTTAATGGGGCGGCCATATTGGCAAAAATATTGGGTACACCCCAGTTCTTGTGTCATGTGCTCGATTCAAAGCATTCCAACTTCAAACCATGGTGCTTTCCACCTTGCAAGAGTCAGTTGTCCCATTCAAAATTTCCTAGTGTCAGAAATGTTTTTTCTATTAAATATTTGATCTTTGATCTTATGTAGCCTATAGCACTACTATAGCAAGTAAAATTAAGATGCTAAATTATCCAGTCCAGGCAAGGTGTACGCCCTCTCTCATCCAAAGTCTGCTGCGATAAACTTCAGCTCACCTGTTACAATGGATGGATGATTAAATTGGAGCCTCTGGCTATGTTGTATACTTGTGATTTTTTTTTTCCTCCCAGAGTAGTATTCTGAGATTTGATCCCTGCCTTTTACAATCATGTGACAAATATTTCCACAAAAGATGAATTCATCATTCAATTTACAGTTCAGATTCATTTTAAAGGGTCGTCCTTTGTAAAGTAATACAATGTAAAAATGTGAAGCGTAATGCGATTTCCCTGTGCAGGTGATCCTGGTTGCAACAGGGCCCCTCACCAACCTGGCACTTGCTGTCAAAATGGACCCGTCGTTGCCCGCCAGACTGAAGGGCATCTACATCATGGGAGGCAACATAGAATGTAACTGGCCCATTTGCAATTTATGCTGACCGCCCACCAAGATGTTGAGCATGACGGACACCTGTGTTTTCTTACACGTCAGCAAGAGGGAACACGACCGTGTGTGGAGAATTTAACTTTCTGGCTGACCCTGAGGCCGCCTACATTGTTCTGGAACGCTACACCTGCCCCACCACAATCGCCTCATGGGAGTTCAGCTGCAGGAACAGCCTGCCGTGGGTGAGGAGCATATGTCACTTCTAGTGATTTCTGAAAGGAAGCAACATTTTTCTATGAGCGTTCCATGGTCATAGAAAAAAATCATATCTCCCTGTATTTGTGTGCCCTAGTCCTTCTGTGATACCTGGCTGGCCCAAAATACTCCAAAGGCTCGTTTTATGCAGACTATCTATGCACACACCCGCAAGGTAAAGATGATTTTGCGTAGCACCTATTTACACATCATGTCAATTATGTTTAAGCTTGCAATGTTACGACACATTGGAGAGACTCTATAGATCCCCATTTTTACAGGTTAACCTGTTGGCTTTGTAGATGGTTCAGACAGATCGGTATCAAAAGGAGCTGGTGTCAGGACCTGGATTCAACACGTGCGACACCTACGCTCTGGCTGCAGCCATCAGTGACAATGTGGTGACGGAAAGCGAGAAGGTCAGCGCTTCTCTTCGATTCTTAATAAGGTGCATTCGGCTCCATCAGAAAGATGAGATGTGAAGAAACATACGTGGCGTTGCTGCTGCAGGTGGCCGTTACGGTGGAGCTGGAGGGAAAAAACACCAGAGGCATGATGGTCCTGGACTACATTGACGCGCTGCACAAGGAGCATAAGGTCACCATCTTGAAGAAAGTGGATCTTGAAGTGTTCCAGCAACTGCTGATGAATGCACTGAAGTAGCAGGCGCTTAGCCATCATTTTAGAAGCAGAGGCAATAATGGTTGCTAGTTACATGTTGTATGTGTTATCCAGTTGACCGATTTTTATTCTGCAAAATGCCCAAAAGTGTTAAGCACGCCTCTTCGAATTAAGTTCAGTGAAGGTGATAAATGTACATTATTAACTCCATAAAAATCTGCTCTATTATTTTCCATCCATTTTCCGATCTGGTTTATCCTCACAAGGGCCGCGGGAGGTGCTGAAGCCTATCTCAGCCGTCTTCGGGCAGTAGGCGGGGGACACCCTGAACCGGTTACCAGCCAATCGCAGGGCACACATCGTCGAACAACCATCCGTGCTCACACTCACACCTAGGGACAATTTGGAGTGTCCAATCAGCCTGCCATGCATGTTTTTGGAATGTGGGAGGAAACCGGAGTGCCCGGAGAAAACCAACGTTGGCACGGAGAGAACAAAATAATATCAATATTTAGCAAGAGACTAGAGAGCAAAAATGACAATGACGAGCTCAAGAGGTCTATAAAACAACGCTTGAGAATGGGCAGCAAACCAGGTCAATAATCTGACAGAGACTTGACAATTAGGCAGTCCTTTAATACATGGTTCACTGACGAAACATTGGCAGCAGGTGTGCACGCTGGAGGGAAGGCCCTCCCCTGATACCTGGTGGAGACACACAAGAACACAATCATAACACCAGCAAGTGTGTTGGACACAAATTGAAAAGAATGGGAAAGGGTTTCGAATCACTTTTTATGTATTTTAGGAAGACTAAAACCTTGATTTCAAACATGAGCTCAGACTTCGGAAAACTGATCAACATTTTTGTCCATTTTTGTCCAAATTTTGTTTCCAACATTTCCCCCCAGTAATTCCCAAAATGTACAAAGATGTTGCAACTTTTGACTTGTCCCAACAGGGATTGCCACAGCAAGTCACTCTCATTATCATTTGACCGCAGTTATTACACCAGTGCCCTTCCTGACGCAATTCACATTTTCTGTTATACAATCTTTTGGAACCCTTTCCCGAAACTTAGAGTGCCTGGTATCAATTTGAAATCCGAAGAAAAAAATGTCTAAATGAGTTATTTTTTAAACTCACTTTATTTCACAAGACACATTCACCACAATTTAATCTCAAGTGAGTAGGACCACTGCATACATTTGTTCCTTGCAAAAGTTTCCCCTTTGTTTTGTGCAAATGATTACAAATAGGCCAACATTCGGAAAATATTTACATTCAATGATTACACTGGTCAACAGCAAATTTTAGTCTGTGATGACTTTATGTGTTATTGAAGGTTTGTTTGATGCAGATTGTTTTTTAAAAATGCCTTTTTTTCTCGCACATCTGGTTTTTGAGACAGTTTCATTTTTTGTTTTTAAGTTTGACCGATATAATCTTGGGCAATACAGATTTTTACAGATTTTTGTCATTGATAGCTCTGACAAATGTTCCCTCTAAACTCCGATCTTGAGAAATCGTGTACTCCTCTCAGCGCAAAGAGTGACGCTGACGCGCACCACGCACATGCATTACATTTTTAGACTCATTCCTTCATTTCCACCCCAGGTTAACCTACGATCACTTCCCTTGCAGTTTCTCTTGCGCAAACGAGGGTGCCAGTTGCTCTTCAAAGGTTGGACGCATACATTGACACACACACACACACACACACACACACACACACACACACACACACACACACACACACACACACACACACACACACACACACACAGACTGACACACAGCACTTACGAGACACTGGAGGTGACATGCGGACCGCTCGAATCAGGATGTCCAAACACGGGCCTGGTTTATGAGCCCCTTATATGAGGCTCTTTCATGCGTTTCAGACAGGGTTCACCTGAGCCGAAAACGGCCAGGGGCCTCGGATCCTCAAGTGCCTATAAGAATAAAAAACAAACAACCAAAAAAAGAATCCCAATATTTTTATTTTCCTGTCAATCACTGTACATCATTCACATCCAATGCCCTTTGTCAGAGGACAGACAGACTTGCTGCACTACAGCAAACAAATCCAACCTCTGAGTCCTTCAAATTTGGTCATGACATCTTGCAGGCTTTCAATTACTCCTTTTCCACCCGAAAAACAAAACTATTGGTGCTCGTTTGGTGCCAGGGCCAGTGTTGTGCTTAGTTGGTGCTTAACACGTTCTTACAGAGAACGTGTATGGTTTTCCACCGGCAAAGAGCAAAGTAGGAGCGGCTTCATTATGGAACTGAGCCAGAGCCAGAGCTAGAGCCCATTTCGGTGGTGGAAAAAGAAAGAACGAGGGCTAACCTGGGCAGTGGCCCGGAACTAGCACGAGCACAAGCGCGGTGGGAAAGGGCCTATTATCGCGTGTGTTATCTAACGGTCTAGTGGAAAATGAAGAAAGTTGCAGATTGGACCAAAAGAGACATTCCATTTATAGATGAAAACTATTTTTTGTGCCAAACAGTTTGGCTTTTATTTTGGAAAACTATTCATTTTCCACAATGTTCCCCGCCTTTTGCAGTTCAGATATAGACAGGACATGTGGAACAGACTGCTCCCTCTCTGAGACAAACCGATGCTTGTGGGCATGTGCGGTGTAACACGTGAAGACCTCCAGATTGAACATTCCACAAGGCACAAAGAGATTTGTTCTTCATCCCCAAAGAGGACACACACATTCTAGACTCGAGATTCTCACTCCATCCCCGCCCCTCCCAAAAAAAGGAGCGGCACCAAGTTGCAGATGTCTTTTTATGTTTTTGTTTTGTGTCTCATTATAGTCTACGGATTGCATTATGAAGTTGAATTAGTTTGCATGTAGAAGTGTCACAACTTCGAATTACAATGTGCTATTTTCTTTCAGAATCATTTGTGGTTGAGTTGACTGAATATTTGTTAGTTTTCAAAGATTGATGATAGGCAATGTATGTCATTTTAAGGCATTTAATCAAAGGTGGGGCACTTTTGGTTAATTTCACCCTTTTTCTTTGAAGGGAAAATTTGGGATAACTATGCCACTCCCGTCTCCCCTCAAGCTGCCACACAAAAATGAGGGAGCGGCCTAATTTTGAGTTTGCAAGAAGAGCCTTTGTTCTCTGCTTTTTCTTTTTTTTTTTCTCTTCCCTCCACAATTCTGAGCCGCAGCGCTAGCCAGATGCCACACCTGCTCTGAGTTCTCCTCCTTTCTTGGCCCTCTACGTGCCAACGGGACGCCGGTCCTCTGGGTCAGCTCCTTTCTTGGTTCCTGCCTCTACTCGATGCCAGGAACTTCTCTGGAGTCTAATAATTTTCAATCCACAATTGGTTATTGCTGTGTGCCAAACGCTTCCTCCCGCAGCCAGTCTACTGCAAAAAAAAAAAAAAAAAAAAAGCCCCCAGAGTGGGACACACCCGCCATTGGGCGGCTTCATTATGGAACTGAGCCAGAGCCAGAGCTAGAGCCCATTTCGGTGGTGGAAAAAGAAAGAACGAGGGCTAACCTGGGCAGTGGCCCGGAACTAGCACGAGCACAAGCGCGGTGGGAAAGGGCCTATTATCGCGTGTGTTATCTAACGGTCTAGTGGAAAATGAAGAAAGTTGCAGATTGGACCAAAAGAGACATTCCATTTATAGATGAAAACTATTTTTTGTGCCAAACAGTTTGGCTTTTATTTTGGAAAACTATTCATTTTCCACAATGTTCCCCGCCTTTTGCAGTTCAGATATAGACAGGACATGTGGAACAGACTGCTCCCTCTCTGAGACAAACCGATGCTTGTGGGCATGTGCGGTGTAACACGTGAAGACCTCCAGATTGAACATTCCACAAGGCACAAAGAGATTTGTTCTTCATCCCCAAAGAGGACACACACATTCTAGACTCGAGATTCTCACTCCATCCCCGCCCCTCCCAAAAAAAGGAGCGGCACCAAGTTGCAGATGTCTTTTTATGTTTTTGTTTTGTGTCTCATTATAGTCTACGGATTGCATTATGAAGTTGAATTAGTTTGCATGTAGAAGTGTCACAACTTCGAATTACAATGTGCTATTTTCTTTCAGAATCATTTGTGGTTGAGTTGACTGAATATTTGTTAGTTTTCAAAGATTGATGATAGGCAATGTATGTCATTTTAAGGCATTTAATCAAAGGTGGGGCACTTTTGGTTAATTTCACCCTTTTTCTTTGAAGGGAAAATTTGGGATAACTATGCCACTCCCGTCTCCCCTCAAGCTGCCACACAAAAATGAGGGAGCGGCCTAATTTTGAGTTTGCAAGAAGAGCCTTTGTTCTCTGCTTTTTCTTTTTTTTTTTCTCTTCCCTCCACAATTCTGAGCCGCAGCGCTAGCCAGATGCCACACCTGCTCTGAGTTCTCCTCCTTTCTTGGCCCTCTACGTGCCAACGGGACGCCGGTCCTCTGGGTCAGCTCCTTTCTTGGTTCCTGCCTCTACTCGATGCCAGGAACTTCTCTGGAGTCTAATAATTTTCAATCCACAATTGGTTATTGCTGTGTGCCAAACGCTTCCTCCCGCAGCCAGTCTACTGCAAAAAAAAAAAAAAAAAAAAGGCCACCAGTGTGAACCACGCCCGACTTGGTCTGCAAGGCCAACCTTTCTGGACACGTGTGTGCCAAGTAGTCACTTCAGTGCACCTCTGAATAGTGGCACAGACCCCACAGCAAGGTGTACTGGACCTCTCAAGTGTGTTGTGGTCACCTTTACCCGAAGTTGGCGCATGAGCTGTCTCACAGGAAGTTGTTAGCGGTCAGCAGTCTGCAATCCCAGATTGCAACCAGAGCCGTTGGGATATATCTATTTTATTTTTTTGTGTATGCGGATTGGACAAAGAGGAGATCTGAGCTCTGCAATCGATTGCTCATCCCCAAGGAGCTGGATTTTGGTCAACATAAACTGAATTTGGAAAAAATCAGTATTTTTACTTGTGAAACAAAGCGTGAAAAGTCAAGCCATCTGAGTCTGTTTGAAAAGATTTTAATTTGTATTTGTAAAACTGAATGTGAAAAAATATTCTGAATTGGCTGGCACCCAGTTTAGGGTGGATCCTGCCGACTGATGGATGGATACATTTTTCGTGAGGAATTGCAAGTCAAATTGTACAGTTCTTTCGGTGCATTTATTCAAGTTTAGCCATTCAAATTCAAATACAAATGATTCAGAGCCAGTGTCTGGTGGCACGTAGTTCAGCCCATACACCAAGCTCGGCACTCCATTAATTTATAATCATCATGCAACGTGCTTCGCATAATATAACGTTATTGGAAGTGTTGCACTGAAGGTGACTCATCATTTAATTGAACATAGTTAAGTCCCACTTGTGATCGGTGCCGGCTGGTTGCACCTGTGATACGCCCGCACGTCAAACTTATTGAAGGGACCTCAAATATCTGACACAACTGCCTCACAAATCACCAGAGCATCCATCTATCCTTCAACTACCCCCCCTCTGACGTATTATGGACCAATGGATTTAAATTGTAGTTTATCCATTGTAAAGATGAATGGGAAGACTCAGCAGGAAGTCAAAATTCAAGAAAACATTTTATTGAAAGAGATCTGGAATGTGTGCCTCAAGAAAAAAAAAGTTGTTTTCCTCACGTCAAGAAAACAAAAGCACAACAAATGTTTTCTCATTTCTTTGTGTGTATATATTACAACCTCACATCATTGTATTTACAAATTATACAAAAAGAACTAAAAGCTCATTTCCTCTTTTCCTGCAATGTCGCCACATGCAAAAAGAGGTTTTGAGTCAAACACAAAACAAATGGGAGTCATTCCAAAGTCAGAACCAGTCCTGTGAAGTGATACGTTGTCACTTTGAAGCTGTGTGCAAACCAACCCGACGTCCATCTTCCATCGCACCGCTCCTACTGGACTCTGTACTTGTAAAACCAGCAGAGACCTTGAGTAAAGTTCCAGCCCAGCGAGATGGAGAGGATGTAGAGGAGCGCCAGTGGGGCGAAGGGGTACAGCAGCACAACTGTGTTCTTCAGGAATGGCAGAGCTGTTTGAACACGTTTGAACACGTTACACATTGCACTGACAGACAGACAAACACAGACTAGTTTGTTTTGATGTAATTGATTTGCAGACTAAATGGAGGTGAGGGTGCTCACCACTTGGACACATTTGGACTGGAGTGGATAATCTGCTGCACTGACTGTCACGAAGCTGCCTTCACTAATTCACTTTTAATCTGGTGTTTCATCCTAATCTCTTTTTGAAATCAAAGTGGCTAACATGCTTCCTTCCTTCCATCAAAACTCAAAATTTAGATTTTCGTCACTTGCTCTTAATTACCCCCAATACCCCATTTTTTAACAATCAATGAAGTTGGAATGGTGTACAGCAATCCCTTGTTTATTGTGGAGGTTATGTTCCAAAAAGAATCCATGAGAAGTGAAAATCCCTGAAGTAGTCAAAGCCTTGAAAGATTAACCATGTTATAGCGAGGGATTACTGTATTTCATTTTTATCTTTAATCACACATTGTTTTCAACAATATATTTTTATTGAATTTTTAAATTGTAAAAATGACAAAACTATAACATAAATGATTGAAATAATAATCAGACTAAATGAAGACATCTTTCATAAAAAAGTATGAAAAACAAAGCGACAATTAATTTGAAACTAAGGCGTAGAAAAAAAAGTAGTGTGTTTCCGGTAACCAGACCGACTGAGAATTTCTACGTCGAAAAAAAAATTTACGGTCGGCATTTTTTTCAAACAACCCTCTACATTTTTGTGTAGAGGGTTTACATCGGTGCAAACTCACGCGATATTCACGTTGAGCGCGAGCGTCGTTTGCCCTGTCGTCTGTCAACAACATTGAAATATGGCGGCGGCCGCGATCTCCGACGACAGTTTAAACCGCGTTTTCTGTGTTACAGTCGCGTGCTCGCACCGTAATGTTAAGAAAATAGCATCCATTGATGTACCGAAAAAATTCAGCGAACTATTTGATGAACACCACGGGCCGAGTAAAAACGGAGGGCGGAGGAGGATGGCGGCGTGCACCGGCCCCCCGAGTCCGGAGCAGGGAGAAAACTAAATCGGTGGCGCCGGCCGCGGAGTGGCGGGTTCAATGTCTTCTTGTTTTATGTTTTATGGTTATTTTGTTAAAATTTTTGATATGGGGGGATTAAAAAAAAAAACTTTGTCTGACCTACCGACCCTATGCTGAAATTTCATGTTGCCGGAAACACACGATCTTTTTTGTTTGGCCTAATGTTGTGCAAGGGCTCCCGTCCATCTATTCAAGTCCGAAATGTCATCACCACAAAGAGGGCGTGATTCCATCTCAGGTTCACCTAAAAGGTGTGAAATGTCATTGTGTCCAACACAGCTACATAAATAAAGATGTATCGTGTTGTATCTAGGGGTGTCAATATATCGCATTAATTGAGAACAATTAAATACATAATTTAATCTGTAACTTTATTGTTTCTGTTGTTGGGTTGCCTTTTTATAATCTCCCTTTTCATGTGTTGGCTTCCTGTGTTCGAGTAGTTGAGGGTGGGGAAACAACTGTCAGTCACAGCCTGAAGCGGACATTGATTGGCTGTCATTATGTTTGGGCTTGTTTAGCATAAGCTGATTGGCTCCCATTGGAGTTGGGCGGGTTAAGTAAGTAGCGGTGAGGAGAGGAAAGGTGAAAATGGAGGAGGATGTGAGAGTTCTCGGCACAATGAACGGAAAATTTACTTTTCAAAAAACGCCCTGACAGCACTATTGATAAAAGTAGAGTGTTGTGCTTAATTTGTAAGGATGAGTTTGCTGACCACCGAAGCAGCTCAAGTTTAGCCTCCCACATTAATGCAAAGCACCCAGTGGCGAGTGCATCCACAGCTAACGTTAGCACCACCAAAAGCGTTAGCAATATAGCGAGCTGAAGCAAAGCTCTTCGCCAAACTAATCTCGAGGAGAACACCCGGCGTACGAGGCATGAAGTCAGCATAGCTGCTGTGTCCTCAGTAGCCTATTAGAAGTGTTTGATGTTTATTTCAGCACTTTATTTTGTCATGATGAACAGTATTATTTCTGAAGTGCTAACTTACAGCACTGTGATTTAAGGGTCTCTTATTGATTTTTTGTGATCCGAAGCAAGTTCAGTGTTGAGTACTTGTATTGCTCAGAAAAGTGTTCTTACTGTTTTTGATATGTTAACCTAAGCACTTTTTATGGACCTGATGTTCTATTTTTATTTTGTAATTTTTTTGAGATTTACAAAAACTAACACAACGGTGATATTCACCCTGGTGGTCGAAACTAAAGGTTGCAGGTCAGACTTGGGACTAGTCTCAACTACAGCAGCAAGTGAATGGCTAGGACTGCATCTATTCAAGTCTGTTTACAAACAATGAAAGACTTTATAATGCCACTTTTTTTGGCTTTTGATCTGCCTCAATAATGTAATGAATTAAAAACAGCACTAATTGTATCGTCCAAAAACTGTCTCCAAACTCCTTGGAGAACGTCCTGTTTACCTCACAACGTCCATGTGATCTTCTCCAAAGGTAAATGCAGATAGAACTTCTTAAAACACTTGACAATACTTGGTTTGCCAAATTACCTCAATGACAGTGCAACAATACAGCATTTCACACACAAAAAATAAAACACTCACCAGGTGTCATGTTTTCTGAAATGAATTGCAACAATGTGTGTATTTCAAATGGAAAGAGGCCTCACCGTTGTACCCCAGGAAGGTGATGTAGAGATAATAACCGATGGCTATCAGCCACAAGGTGTTCCCCACAAAGTAGCCGAGGAACCAGTCCGATTTAATCACGATCACATCTAAAACACACAAGGACCACAAATTCAGCTTAAACCCCTTTCACGCTGTTCGTCAAAATGAAATTTTTCCTTTTTTTCCCCCTGCCTCGGTCGTTATTTTGTGTGAAAGCCAATGAAAAGGAATGAGGGTGATGAAGGCTTCAGGGAGCACCAGAGGCCTGGCGTTGATGTGTGAAAGGGGAAAAGGGCTACACTCAAGTCTCCCACATTACTGTGTCAAAAGGAATTTTCGCTGTTCAACAAGTACCGTATACAGCACATCAAACGCTGGTGATGACTTTGTCATGTTCGAATATTCTCAAACACAGTCAAGGAAAGAAAAAAAAGAACGCAACATTTGCTCTTTCAAGGACATTCACTATGAAAACACCAACTGGACAGCAGATTTGAACATTGCACAAAATAAATAAATAAATAAATAAATCCTTTCATTTGGCTAAACCATGTATTACTCAGACATTCATGTTTCAAATTATGTAAACCTCTGTTCTTAGGGGAGATGTCCGAGCGGTAGACAGAGAAGTCCAAGGTAGCGAGTTCAGTGTAAACAGATGATGAACGGGAAAAGAGTGTCGAAATAAAAGGGTGTGGAGTTATTCGTATTAATTTACAACCAAATGACTTTTGCTCGCATAGTTTATAGAATGGATACAGAATCTACAAATGCTCACACTCAAAACATGTTTGCTTCTGTACTGTATTTAGTTATTTTTCTACTTTTGGGCAGTCGTTTAAAAAAAAAAAAAAAAAAACATTACACACCCATCCATCCATAATTTAATCCGCTGATCCTCACAAGGGTTGCGGGCGAGCTGGAGCGTATCCCAGCTGATTTTGGGCAGTAGGCGGGTCCTGAACTAAGTGCCAGCCAATCGCAGGGTACACATACTGTAGACCAACAACCACAATCACACCTAGGGACAATTTAGAATGTTCGATTAACCTGCCATGCATGTTTTTGGAATGTGGGAGGAAACCGGAGTACCCGGAGAAAACCCACGCAGGCACGGGGAGGACATGCAAACTTCACAGGGGAAGGCCCAATTTTCTCTGGGTTCTATAAAATGCTATATTAGTCGTCCCAGTTTAGTGTGAAAATGAAAAAAAATAGTCCCTTTGTGATGATGAAAACTTTTCACTGAGAATGACTGATTGGATTGATACACTTACGGTTGATGAAAAACAGCTGTAGGAAGTGCAGAATGACAAGGAGCGGGTAGAAAGCATTGAGGTGGACATCAAACGCGTAACCCCACTCGACATCAAACTCGCGGCTTGGGTGTTTCAGCAAATATTTGTTGCTTATCACCCTGAAAAGATAAACAATTACTTTCACAGCTCAACAATCTTTTTTTTTTTTTTTTAACATAGCATTTATTGCATTGGCATATCTCACCACATGAGGGTTGATATGAGGAGACCCACTCCTATGCAATCAACAAAGACCACCCACAGCAGTAGCTTCAATGTCTCAAGAACTCCCATGTCCAGCACCAGACCAAAGCCTATTGTGGAAACTACATGTACACATGCAAGGAAGCCAAACATTAATCATTCTACCGTAACCAAGTAACATCATCAAGTACTCAAGTGATGCCAGACTTGCCGCATAACCAGATACTGAGCAGGACCAGGAAAGCGGGGTCATCCCGGGCCCACTGGTCCTTCGTCTGCTTCCTGTAGTGGAAGTTGCGATAGACTCTCTGCGGTGACGTGAACAAATAAAGCATCTGCCACAGGGCGAATTCAAAGTCCATCTGCCTGAAATGGAGCAGCCTTCGCAGATACTTGTAGCGCTTGGCGCCTGCTGTGTGACGTGCAGCATCCCTCGAACCAAGGGAACCATTGCTGTGTTGGCTGGTCGTTGGCAACATGGACCTAAAAATAACTGTCACAGCAGAAATACGTTCTTGGAGTATAGAGGACTTGTGTTTGTATTGGTGTTAGTGTTAGTGTGTGTGTGTGTGTGTGTGTGTGTGTGTGTGTGTGTGTGTGTGTGTGTGTGTGTGTGTGTGTGTGTGTGTGTGTGTGTGTGTGTGTGTGTG